AGCCAATACATCCTTAAATTTAATTCAATTCGCTTTTTATTTAATATATTACAATTTTTAAATCTAAAACAATATCAAGCGACTTCCCTTTATATTAAAATCAAACGCGTTCATAATAATTGATGACTCATACGTTAATTACATATTAAGAAATGGATAAGCGAGCTCGCAAGGTTGTACGTACGTGCACCGATTGATTTGACCCAAATGTACGTATGTAAAATTTAATATTAACATATAGCTGTATGTTACGGGTAGAACTACCATCGGCGCGTCGTAGTGAGGCACAAGAAAGTGGTTCATTTATCGATACTCTCATCTCACTCCTGTGCGGCATTGTTTGTAACAATGAACAGTTCAATAAGTCTGCAGTAGGTAAGGTATCATCTAGTATAATACATATGTACTTCAAATTATGAAGTCATTTTATACAAACGAACAAAGTACATACCGTGTAACATGAATAACTAGTGGCAATTTGTGCATGTCCCTTTGCCACGAAAGAAATTGTATAAACCATTAACGGAACTGCTTGAGAGTAATAGAGTAAGTTTCTTGAATGCTCTACATTTACCGCACATGTAACGTCACCCATAATCCCATTAATGCAATATAAACCAATAGTATACTTTAATCTAATCGAATGTCACAAAAAAAGGAAATCTTCTCTTTCAGAAACAAATGATAAAGGATTCAGTAAGGATGTCTGCCGTAGCATGGTCGCTATGTTAGATGTAGATCACTCAGGCAAGCTCGGATTCGAAGAATTCAGATCGTTATGGAACGATGTAAAGAAATGGAGGGTATGCAAATTCTAAACTACATTTTTGCTAACAAGAGACGTACTAGAGACTAATATAAAGTGATTTGTATCACATGTACACCTTTTTAGGCCGTATTTAAATTATATGACAAAGATGAGTCAGGATATCTAAGCGCTTTTGAACTGAGGCAGGCGTTAAACAGTGCGGGCTATCGATTAAACAATCACATTTTAAATATTTTGGTACATCGCTATGGAACGAAGGAGGGCACGATCACGTTTGATGATTATATAATGTGTGCCGTGCGACTTAAAACAATGATAGGTAAACGAATTACTCAGAGCTTAGTAGTTAGTAGTATTCGAAAATTCAGTAAGAAATTTTTACGAATATATCTGTTTCCAGACATTTTCAGGGAACGAGATCCGGATTTGACCAACACGGCAACATTCACGATGGAAGAATGGATAGAGAAGACATTATACTCTTAATCGAAATCGTGTGTCAAAATCGTTGATAAATACATTCGTATTTCTTGCTCGTTTTATTACGAAAAAAAGTTTAAGATTCTAATCACTTTTCACTTTGAGAACTTCCAGTTTCTTTCATAGTTTTCACTATTCAAAACTTTTCATAAATACATATATCGAAATTTGTACATGAACTTTTCTTGAGGTTTATAGGCAATACCTGTTTTTAGGAACGTACATGAAAATTTCTGAGGACGATATATCAATTTGTGTTACGATAATTTGTTTGCTTCTTTTATATTGTTTGTCACGTACGGTAGATGTCTAAATCTGGTGCCTTAAAGTCTTTGTACATTTGACTTTTAATTTTATTCAAATGATAATAATAATAATTTATTACAGCGGACATGGGAGCTAGTCTATATTTTATATGCAAATTCTTACTGTGACTGAGAAGTAAATAAATGAATTATATTTTTTCGTTCTCCAACTACCGTCTGTATAAAAATCAGCTATTTTTAAAAACCGTTTATATGTACATTAAATAACATTTTGAACATTACTTCTGGTGTTGAAACATTTACTTCCTTTCCCATTACCGCCTATACAGGGTGTCCCAGAAAAAGTGTTAGAGCCGAAGAGAGGTGATTCTGTAAGTGTTTCTTAAAAACAATTTCCTTTGCCAAATGCAAAGTGAGACATGATTTTTAAATTATTAACGAAAAACACTGACCAATAAGAGCGCGTCTAGGGCCCGCGCTAAGCCACGGCCGAGCGTCACGATCCGAGCTAATCTACCCGTGACTGGGTGCGTATTCTCATTGGTCAGTGGTTTTCGTTAATAATTCAAAAACCATGGCTCACTTTGCATTTTACCAAAGGAAATTGTTGTTCAGAAACACCTCTAGAATTACCCCTTTTCGGCTTTAACACTTTTTCTGGGACACCCTGTATAAAAATCAAACGAAATATCTTTGAAGAATAAGTCTAGCATTAACTTAGTCTATTATGATGAATAAATTATTATTTTTTTTAATAGCTTCTCAAGATAAATTCTTTATCTGAGAATCGTAGGTCTGTACAAACGTGCTAATGAAAGAAATGTTCATTTCGCATAGTCGCGTTCCCTACCACGACCACGAACATGAATGACAACTTTGGGATGTCATTAGATTCGAAAAATCGCTTAAATGAAGACAGTCTTCAGCTAACACTCTACCATCGACTAATAAGACATGGATTTTCTGGAAGTTAAATACGCGAAAACCAGAGCGTGTTGACTTGCACGCCATTACACGCCCTTATACGTACTCACACATACATTAGAAGTAAGCTACCAATACCTATACCTATCGTACCTAGATCTATATTTCAAAAAAATGGATAAGCAGGTACACTAATACGATAAAACGGCACGACGGTTCGTGTTCTTACATATAACGCCCAGGCGCAAAAAGCCTACGCTAGAGAGAACGTCCCGGGACGCCTCCGACACCCGAGCCTAACATGTTCAAACATTCCCTCTCTACGGTATGTAGATACTAGTTTACTGCAATCGACTGACAAGGCTAGCGATCATTGAATATGATATGAAAAAGCAGGAGACTCTCTCAATTTATCATGTCAAGTATAACAAATGTTATTTATTACTCGTACATTATAAGAAAGTCAATGTGCTCTATGAAATAGAAAAAGAAAACAGAAAAGATTGTAAGAAAATTGTACTGAATACAATAAATATAATTAAAACAATCCCAGTATTAACACTACTTTTATCACCATTAAATTATCATTGAATATACAAATCATGCCACTGTTGTAATACATTTATGTAAAAATAAATTTAATAAAACATTGACTGAGGATATAAATACGAATAACAAGTACAGACTTTCTTTTAATGCAATGAACCGATGCAAATCCACAGAATATTAATACACATACACAAACAGTGTGGAGATTACGTTATGCATAATGCACTACGTATTATGTCAGCCGTGAACTTACAAAAGAGCTTATAAACTAAGATCATCGGGCGTATCGCCTATCACCCACCCAAGTAGCACCTGGGCACGTGAGGGAGATCCTCGAGAGTAAGCGCGGAGGAGATTAAACTTATAAATCCTGATTTAAAAGACATGCTACTTCGAACTTGCAGTAGTTTCACCCTAACAATAAGCAAGAAGCAATAATTTTACTATAAAAGCAAAGAAACTCTACTCCAAATCATATTAATTTAATTTTTATTTTAAAGAATCTAATGCGAATGTCAAATACCTATTTATTCAAGATCTAATGTAAAACATTTCTTTACAGTAATACTTAATATGCAAACATCAATATTTCTAGTTTTTCTAAAATATAAGATTCTTCTATTCGCACGACTTGCATTAATATCATTATTATATTCATTTTATTAATATCTTCACTAGCGTGAAAGATACGCGAGTACAAAACATAATCTGGCCTAATAAATAAAATAGTGACAATTGTTACTACATTTGGGTATTTAAAATACTCAGGATCAGTATATGCTCGTAAAGAATGTTAAAAAATACAACCAGTCAACCATACCGTGATGGGGATCGGAGGAAATTAAAAGCATGCAACTCACTGTGAAGAAACATTCGTTGAAGCTGCTGTTTTCAGCTAAAAGTTATCTAAGAGATGTCGTTGGGAATCAAGTCACCAGGGCACAATCTTCAAAAAATTGAATACTGTAAAAGATTAAAAAAAATCAGGTACTTTCAAAGTGACATGATTATTTTTAAAGTCCGATACTATATTTCAAATACTCTAGTCGAGTTTAACGTATTAACTATAAGACTGAAGTACTATGTACTGTATTGCACTTAAGAATCTTTCGATTCTCATGTGTACGTTTCGTAGCAATACGATAATTATATTATGTATGGTAATATTTAAATACCATTCCTCATTGTGGATTTCTGCACGATATATGTATAATCACGTGATTCTTATGTGTAGCACGGTACGGTGTGTAATTTATACGAAATTATACTTTCATTAACGTGGTTATGTATGAAGCCTAGTTCTTACACGAGGCTAATTACTTTCACAGAAATCCGTACAAATGTTATGTAAAAATAACTTTCTTTTGAAAAGGAAAACTTAAGAATGCACAGGACACAGGAGAATTCGTACGTGGAGAAGGAGACGAAGTTTAATTCACATTTCACTGAAATTAATCGCCAACAGACATTGGGAACAGCAGACACTGTTCGCGAACCTTCCTTCTTTAACAATTTCGATAAATGACGTATTTAAATACCTTTTAATTATAGGAAATAAGTAAATTTAGAGCACTAGGGAACGGCACAGTTAACACAGCCAGGAACAATCATCGGAGTTTGGTTAAGAGCGCAGACGTGACTGATCCTGTAGTGATTGGTCGGATAAATTCGCGCGGCCTCTTGTACATAGTTTACGAATCTTCTAAACCATACTCCCGCTGTTGAAATGTATTTTAATGACATAAAATAACATATTGAAACAAAAACAGAAAGAATGTCGTAATGAAGAGTAAACATTTTAACAAAAAATAAAATGTTAAGTCATTAATGTAAACGTATTAATCTGTTAAATTATCTCATCTCACTCAATATAAAACTCACGTTCATGTTACTTTCAAAACATAATTCTTGTATTAAACTATTACAATTGTGATTAAAAAAACATTTTTCTTTTAGAAAACGAATTATTTTCGTCGTTTTACATGTCATTTCCACATGTGCTGATACAATTTTCAGAAAGAAGTGTCGTCGAATAACTTTTTTTATTGACGATCACGTTTAGTTTTAAACTATTTCAATTTGACGTATGTATTACACAAGGGTTACAGTACAATTTAGGATTTTCATTCCTCGAAGGCGACGAATACCCAATTTACGGAGACGATCGTTGAGCGAAATTTGCATGCATATGCAGTATGTGTGATCGCACAATGGGGAAACAAATCCCCTTTCGTGCTCCCTAAACGGTTCCCCTCTGTGCGCGTTCCGTACCCCGGTGCATGTTCCCCACCAATATCTATAGAAAGAGTACCCGTTTGAAGCGAAACAGCAGCTGACGATCGTAACAATGCCATTCGCAGAGTGTACGCGGGAGCAATATGCTCTACGCAGGGTTACGGGAGAAGGCGGTGAACTCTCATTGCGTGTACGTGCTACTACTGGTTGCTAGATATCGCTGGTGTTACAACGATGTAACGCTACCAGGAAGCATGAACAAGGTAAGGATTATCTATTCGCCTTGGTAAAACGCGCGACGTTACAACCAGGAATGTGTTTCGACTGTATCGTGCATATTATGTTTAAAAAATGCTGTTGAATGTAAAGACGGTGTGTTATTTCTGCTGATATTTCTCCTAGACTCGTTCTATGTATTGTCAAATTATGTTAGAACGAACGAAATTTTAAAATGAACTATGTAGCTTATTTCTGAATGGTTGCTCTATCGATTTTGTTATTCGCTTGTGTGTGTATTAACGAGGGGTGATCGGGTTCTTGACGAGGGCAATATAATGATTATCGAATGTAGGATGTACTGAAACCTCCTTGCTCTATTTCTTAATTAACGAATAAATGAAATGTAAATTGCGTGTAAAAATTCCTTACTGATAAGATGAACATTTAAGTTCTTATTCTTGTCTTATGAGAAATATATTAAGGAATTAATGTCGAGCTTATTTGCAACGTTACCTTCGACTGAAATCCTTTTGTCAAAAATAGTATAAACATACTTTCTATAGAAATATGCATTTACATAAACATCCGCGTTCTACATATAGCGTTCATTCGTTGTAACACCGTTCGTTGTAACGTACGCTACACTGTACAGGTGCAAGGTAGAGAAGGTAAAGAGTAAAACGAAAGACAGAACATCGGGTGGAGGATAAAGGAGGAAGGAGGGTAGAAAAGAAAAAGGAGGAAGAAAGGTGTTGAAGAAGGGAGCAGACCGAAGAGAGAGTTCTGTTACCTGGTCCGTTCTCCGGTCCCTCGGTGACGGCAGGTCAGTGTTGCTATACTCGTGGACGAGAACGGATGCATTGACCGTTTATGCGTGAGCATTTTCACACAAGAAAGTTGACCTGTTATCTCTTTGCTCGTCGCCGTGGTCGTCGTCGAATCGTATATAATCAGTGATACTCGACGCACTCGCGTATGGAGAGCGACGTGGAGCAGTAGTCTAACCGGGGAATAGCATAGATCGTCGTCCTGACAGGGTCAGACGCGTGTAAGTACATACATGCATACATTACCGTTTTCATTTTTAATTGCAACGCACGATACTGTCGAACATCCCAGAGAAGCGAAGTAGCTCTCTCGTCCACTAGAAACGCAAAACCGATACATCATCCGCGCGAGCACGAGAAAGGTTTCTCGTATCATCTAAGCCACGATATTAAGGTTACCGTGTTATCCGCGAAAAAGTAAGACACACGCGTTAATGAGTTAAACGCTCTTACAGTTCGAGCATGATAAACAGCGTTTCGCGTGTGTCACGCGCGTTGAACCGCCGGATTCATCTTTATACATATATATATATAGAATCTCTAGAGATCGTATGCGTGTACGCAGATCAACGCGTGCCACGAAATGTGGGGTGAAACGTACTATTTTCCAGTGCACGTGTCGTTATCGCATGATTTCGGATTCATAGTAATGAACACTATGCTCGGGGATCCCGTAATTTATGAAACCGGTATAATCGCAGACTATCCTTTTACCGAATGTTTTAGTACGCAAGCGTATGAGTTTATTTTAAAGGAACGCATGGTAATTATCGTGGCACATAATTTTGTTGAAATTGTCACGCGCGTTATTTCGTTTCGTTCAAAAGTAAAATTATAAGAACAAATAGATAGTTGGTGGATAATTTTAGAAACGAAGCCTAGTAACGTTGGTCGTGGAAAGTAAACTGGTGCATAACTCTGGCGAGAGAGTCACACGCATGTGCCTACGTACGTTTACATAAATATGTAAATAAGTTTGGAAAAGGAAGCTAGTCAGCGCGTCGATTCCTTCGACAAAACAAGAACAGGTTTCGGAAAGAACTTTACTAACCCTGTGAAAGGTGTTGTCCCCTAAGATACCTGCGTACGTAGAAACGGACTAGATGAGAAAAAACAATTTTCCGCTTATATCTCATAAAATTCCAGAAAACAGTAGGATTAAACTTTAATGAATTTTTTTTTAATGCTTGAAATACAATTCTTTTATTGTAGTATTGTTCTACCGATTATGTTACAAAAACTTTTAGTCAATTTGTAGGAAACGAATGCTTTTAATTTATTTATTTCTTTCCTTGAATAATATCAAACATAGATATTTACGATAGTTCTTTCACTAATTTCTCAAACAATAGATATATCTAATTGAAAATGCGGGGAATTTTGTAAGATAATAATTGTAAACAGAATACTATCGTTAAAATACTTCTTGTCTAAAATAGCACTCATACGTTCTGATATATCAACATTGCTACACTATTCATTTTATTATTACAAAGATCAGTTGTCCCTGATATAGATTATGTTTCATTTTCGTATATGAAATTAATTTCTCTCGGGTTGAAACCAAACGAAAAGTAAACTTAAGTAATCATCGCGTTTAATGAGTCCAGAGCAAGATGCAATCGGTGATCCGTCCCTGAGACGCTTTTTCCTCCGAGAAATTCTCTGAAATCTCGAGACGATGCACCTTGCACCATAAAGTCGGACTCGTCGGAACTGCATGTTACGTACACGTTATGGTTGTGGCAATGTAATGCAGCATAGTACACGGGTAGCATGGCATGGTGCGTAAGACAGATGTCGGTCAAGAAACAAATAAAAGAGTAAAAGGGAGGTCGACGACGGGATGCTGGTAGCTCGAAAGTTGAAAGCAGTGCCACGATCTGACGAGCACTACGTCACTACCATTACTCATTTCGCGATATCCTTTACAAAGGATCGTAATGATTTAAGGTCGTCAATTTTAAGCCGATTATCATACACGAACGAGCGAACTTCATTCTTAGGAAATTGAATAGACCATCGACTCGCAGACGTCCGTTTCTTCAAATTTATTGGACTTCATTTACGGACATTCATCCGCACGTATGAATGCAACGTACAATTAATATTTTACTTCGATCCCGTAGTGTAATAGACGATGATCAGGTAAGAATATTAAAAAAGAATACACATATATCTTCAGTAAAGTTAGAGTTATTGTCTTAATTGTTTTAAATTCTATTACAACGTCTGAAATTTAAGGTAACGTAATGTCGTGAACGAAATAGCATAAACCTCTCTAACAAAAAACAATAAATCTAAGTTTAATGTGCAATCAAATTTCACATTCGTAAACCTAGTAGCTACAGCCTATTTCACAAGAGCAGAGTGGCATTGAAAAACATTTTTTAAATAATCGACACCTACTTATAGACAGAAATTTTAATCTAAATACAGCAAATGTATGTCTTCCCAAATGTTTGTCGATGATAAAACGTCTTCAATTTATTTAAATATTTGAATGTTAAAGAAGAAACTCGCTCCTATGTAGAATCCAAATTCACGCTTGATCATTTCGTCGACTGATCCTGCGTTTCCCTGTAATTAATTTTGAATTAATGGCAGGAGGGTGATAGCGTATACCTGTGCCCGTGATAGAGTTAGCGCAAGCGCGAATGTGTAACAAGGAGTTTCCGAGGAAAACAGATGCTCGATGATATTCGCGGTACCAACAATTTGTTCGCGACTCGCTAGTCAGTACGCGTCCGTGTACCGGTGAAGGAACATCTTGCGAGTGTACGGGTAGTGGCAATGGACAATACCAAAGCGAAATCTCGTTGTCGTCTCAACGAGTACGATTGATCATCTTGCTACCAGGAAAAATGGGAAACGAGTTTCGCTTTGAAATCATTTATCGAGTCAACAGGATACGTAATAATTCGTCTGGAAGCAAGCTTGATGTTCAGGTGCTAAATGATCGTCTTCGTGGCTTAACTTTAAATCTGTTTGTACGACGATGAAGAATAGTTGAGAATTAATTGCTTGATAGTTACCAATTTTCATCATTCTTTGCGATAAGAGCTAAATAATTGTTTTTTAATTACCTAAATCAGAATTATGACTTTACGGAACAAGAGAATCTCGTTTTTAAACCTAAATAAATAGATTAAGAATTGTTTGCAAAAATTGTAGATACAATATTTGTGGAAATTAAATAGTAGGAACTTTCACTACAATGTAAACAGCAAGAAGAAAGTAATAGGTATGTCAGAAACAATACGAATATCGACCTATTCAAAATTGGATTTGTAATCTTTAAATTGATATCACATTGCCAATGTTTCAAGCCACAATATTTGCTGACCAATTTAAACACATATTCTACCTATTGTAATACCTGCATGATGCATCTCTAGCCTGCAGTATGTTTGTTCATTTATAAGTATACAGGTAAAATGTCTGACATATGAGAATATACGTGGCAGATTTGCATCTACCAAAATATACTACAACATGCACACACACACAATGAATACATGATATACTAAGATTTTAACTTAAGGCCATTGAAATTTGCAGTCTACAACTTAAGCAGTTTAAAACCTCGTATCGAAAAAAGCAATATGTATACATATAAAAACGATTAATAAATTGACGATCGTTTTGCGCGCTGCATCAGCAGAATATTCGCGAATTTGATCGACGCGACGTTTTCGTGGTCGTTAATCGGGATAATTTTATGAAGATAAAAGTAACCGCGACGCTGCGGTGAGAGTGTCTCGGTGAGAAGCAAGAAATCGTTCGTGAAAAGAAAAGTATGCAGCTATTTTCCAGCTTCATGGCAAGGCACTTGAAGCGAGGAGCATCCTTGAAAAAAGGTACGGTACTGCGGTTGAGCCACCAGGTGAACACTCATTTAGAACAATGCGACCGTAATTATCTGCTGCGGTAGAACGCAAGCTTCGCGGAGCCGCGTTGTTGTTTTCTTCGTTTGATCTCTTTCGGGCCGACGACTCCTCGCTTTTACCATTGATACAGAGTTAATTAATAACGATCCTCTCCCACGATCCAGGAATTTATTCACCGAATGAGAGTACAATTTCATGGCTATTTACGTCTAGCTGAAAGACTTTCGACTTGCTGAGTTTCATTAGTTCACTCGTTTCTCTTTCTCTTTATTTTATTTTCAACTTGTGGGAACGTAGTATCGTAGTAATGTTACGTTTAGATCAATGAACGAAATGCTGTCCATGTGCTGTATCTTACGACATTTAATTTTGTTACATTTTTATATCGTTACTTCTATCGAAAGAAGATGGAATATTGATCTAACACCTTCGTTATCAGGATTTAACCGTACTTTATTCTACACTTACCTGACGCACAGGTAGCGCGATATCAGAAGATTCCGAGTGAATACGATTCATTGTTCTCACATAGCCACGAACGAACAGGACTTCCGTCCATTTCACTGTATCAAAAGGAGAAAGCGCATGATCTACCTTATTTGATCAATATTTCAACCGAAATATCTGTGTGGCGTTTAAAAGAAGTACTTATAATCACGCGATGTCAGTGCTTATCGTATGATCAGTGCGAACAGCCTGCTGACTCTTAACCGAAACTCCGTCAGAGTAAATGCAAAAAGTGATTTCTACGTTTTTAACGTTAGTCTTATCTTTATATATAAATAATTATTTTCCTAATCAGACTGTTAAATAACGTAATCTGAATTCGTGTGCGCAATAAAACGAAAATAATAAATTGTGTACTTTGTTTTCATCTGAACTTGTGACCGAAATGTATGATTGTATTACACTTGAAATTATAACAGAAAAAATTAGGTTCTATTTTACCTTCGGCACAATTCGCAGTTCTGTGATCAGACAGTGGTAGTAAACACGATAACGCTTGGGAAGGCTGTGGTATCAATTTCTGTGTAAGGGGTGCTCGTAATGCCAAGGTCTTGTCCTCGATTGTTCCTGCCTCTCTGCTCTTAAGTAGTATTAGCCGGCGTCTACTGACATTTCAATCGCGGATTTAGATCTCCCAGAGATCTTTCGAAGAATGTACGGTCTCTAGATATCACTGTTAATTAATAAAAAAAAGAATCTGATCGAATCTCGCCTGGAATTTATTATACCATTCAAGATAACGTTCTTGCAGTAACTACTAGAAATTATTATATCTGTGATAATGTTTCTTTTACGCCTATGTATAATATTTCATTAAAGATTATATGTTATTATTTGTTTCACTTTGCGTCTTCAAAAATAAGAAACTATGAATGGTTAATTTATCGATTTTATTTGAGATTGCGAACGAATGGAAAGGAGGTACAGAATCTGTTAACAATTTACCAAGTTTTTATCATAATTAAAGAGAGAGAAAGCATATATGTATATATATTTATGAGAATGTATTTAAAATTACTGAAAACTAAGTCTGTACTCTAAATTTTTGAAATCAGTTGAAATAAAACTCGATTTCACCCTATGAGAATACGTGTACGTGTCTCAGGGGAAGACACTTTGTTCACGAAATCAGTTTCAATCTCGTGACTGGCGTTCGATATTCACGCGACGTTTACGAGGGACGAAGAACATAAATCGAGGTGGACGACTTAACAAATGGATCAAGTAAACGCGACATTCCTCGAAGACCGGCCTCGATTCATCGCGTATGTAACGATGTACACATTGCGGTATCGTTAATTGCGTCCGAACGTCGTTCGTCCTTGCACCCCTAGTTCCATTGCAATTGATATGCACATCTCTTACGAAAACGTTGTGCACGCTAGAATCCTGAGATCCACGACACGATGCCACGGTTATTAGTTAAAGAGTAAGAAAACATTTCGTTCGTTTTTTCAAGCTCTCGCTGACCATATGCCCTTTTGACATTTTACGCGGAGTCCTACAAGCATGCAGGGTACTACTGTCTATGGATAGCAGAGCGTTGTAATTCAGATAGCCTATCATGGCTGCTGATATCAAGAAATTAGATGACAATAGGATATGTGATACTCTGAACACTCCCATAGTCTAATTATTACAGTAAGACTGACACCTGTCATCTCCTGTTTGTTGTTTATCAGGGAAGCGAGAAGGGAATTGGATGGGAAACTCTACAAGTAACTATCCAGGTTCGATAGGAAGTTCCACTAAAGCTGTTAACAATACCGGTAACGGTACTGCACCTGGGGGTGCCAACATGTCCCCCGAGGATACGGCTACCGACGAAGAATTCGCCTTAGCTGTTACTCAAAAAACTCAGGTGAGACAAATTTTCTATCGAACCACAACAGCTCATGAGAGCAAACTTATCACAGAGGACTTTCGTGAATACATTGAGAAAATCAATACTTGTATCATTTCATCTACTAACTGAATAACACGTGTACGTACGTATGCAAACGAAGAAAATGTCATGATAGAAAATTGTTACGTTAGAGACAGGGCAAGTGGGCTCATGATAATAACCAGTTGCAGGTATCTTATTCAAATAATACAACATGCATTGCACGTGCATACATACATAAGTTCTGGTAACCCGTGTTGTTTTAACGGTAGGAATTTTTTCGACGGAACTTACGTACGTGATTCGAATCGTCAACCTCGTCGAAGTTACAAGCGTAATAGCGTTCTTTCAAGCTCTCTTCATAGCCTGGCTCAATCGAATCGTAACGTGGAAATACGATACATAAGACGTTTCCCCAGTCTTTTTATTTCTATGGCTGTGAAATTAAATCACGCCCAGCGACGAAAGAATAACACATTATCATTTCTTCATTTATTCGACAAACAGATCGCTTAATAAACGAAAAATGTTATGCAGTATGTGGCATCTTTTCGTTATGTAATATTTTATCGGACAATGAACGTAAAAAGTCACTTATCATCCGTCACAATCCGCTTATGTGTACTCGCGTTTAATGTCACAATTTCTGCCCAATCAATTGAATCACAGCAATCCGATTAGTCCTCATAGTTTCATTAGAGTAAAAACATAAGTTGAATGAATTTAATTCAGTAGACAGATAAATTTCTAAAGTATTTAAAAAGTTAAATGAATAAAGACTTAGCAACGATACTTGGAGTAAAGAATTATCTCGCAGTTACTGATCTACTCTTTAATTTGTTCAGAAGTCGTTAGATATTTAATTGAAAGCACCGTTTATGAATGGCAGTGCATATACGCAATATACAATTTTACGAATTCTAAAGAGACATTATTGTTTACGTGGGAAATGCCCCGAGTAATGCTTTCCTGTGTAGGACTCGTGAGACTCTTTTCGAGCGATTTTTATCATCGCATTCCTTGCCTACCGTCGCTGGGGAGAGAAGAGCAAAGCTCCCTATTAAGGCGCGAATTCCACGAAGAAAAAGTGATTTTATTAAGTCGAGTTTTCATTCTCTTCGTAATGCAATTTACTAGGAGAAAGGACCAATTTCTTTATGAGTGACGCTGTTTACGCGTTATAGCTTTCCCATTCGACGGGAAAAATGTACTTGTGTATGTCACAGAAAGTTACATTACGCACAACCCTGCTTGTCTATGCAGGCAACTTTTCAAGCACGTCACTTTTTAAATACACGCAGTATGTATCTCGTATTGTTTCAAGGTTTGTTTCGTCTCGATACTCGAGATTTACGTCTCGGTGCATTATGATCGTAACCGACTTTCTAATTAATGAAATGTTACGTTCTTGACAGAACAGGTAGTATTACTATTACATAAGCGAACAGCGTACCTACAACGACGAAACAATGACGAGCTCTACTTTTGTAATCTGTAAAATCGAAGTTTCCGTGCCAGCAAGTAAATATTATCGCCCGTTTATTTTACATTCATGGAACGTCTTTATGTGCTGCTTGGCTTAGGAACGCAAACACCTGTGAATCTTTTTCACTAGATTCAATCGGCTTTATTTATACAACTCAATCTGATCATTCCAAAGTTAATGACGTTTTCCGTGACGGCAGAGAAACTTCTTAGCTTTATGTGCACGCGATATTGCGTGAGCGCACGGAGATCGTGCCCTATATATCCAAGCAAGATGAAGGAATAATGATTTTTATTGTGTACGACTTTCGCCTCGTTTCATTTCTTACCAAAAAGGTTTTAGTAATACGTTACTCTCATGTCTCGTTTGATTTTTTCAAGCGTTACATTTTTAGAACAACGTTAGATATTCATTTTTTACAGCGGGACGCTGAAGCTGTTCGCAGTGCGCTATACCTCAGCGGAACCCTTACGGTCGCGTGGATAATAGGTGCAGCAGGTTTATCGCTAGCATGGCTGGTGTTAGTGTTAGCATTAGCAGCAACGATACTCAGGGCAAGGCTGTCTCGTCTTCTTGAATCGACGATTCAACGTGAATTATCCAAGCTGCGTCGCAAGAGAGCATTGTACAAGGATGAAACCGCTCAGTGGCTGAGCTTACTTCTCAACAAATGGTAATTATGTCTGCACGTATCTACAAATCATTTGTGCACGCGTGATGTAATTCGAAATTAAGTACATTTTATTTTTACCATTCTCTATACTCGTTGTACGTATGTAGGTGAATGAACGTTGTCCGAGAATCAATAGATATTTATAAACATTCCACATTCCTCGAGTGTATTACCGTTGCCTTTCACGGTTCACTGATATTTTGCTGCACATGTACGTATATGCGCGGACACCATTGGCATGCCGCACATGTAGTTGACAAAACGTAGATTTCAAGTCGACCTCCGCTCTACCCTGTATCCTGATATTCTCATTCTAAAACTAGTTGATACAATGAAAATCAGTGCGGCCGCATACCACTCACAGTGGTTCACGAACGCATTCCAGTACTTATTATGCGTTGCCTGTACTTTTCATGTTAGGGAATGCAGTCTGTTATTTTCTTTTGTCAATCATAAAATTTTTACATTATTTCCTGAGCAACGTGAAGAATAGAACGTTCAGATTTCAATACATATGTAATAGAATACAGGACTCCATTCCACACTTTCGAGTCAGTAATTTCGAAAGCTTTAACGCTGACAGGTCCATTTAAAAGCAACGAATTCAATGTTACTGTATCCGTACTAGAATCTGTTGCACCTGCTGGTCGTACATCGTGCTCGGGCGAAACGGGCCCAGCTTCTTTCATATTTTCTTGTTTGTCGGGATCTCGAAGACATTAAAACAACACGCGAGAGCTTGTCCGGAAAGAGTACTACTTATTTGGATAGTTGATAGACCTGTTCGAGCATTTCTGAGCAACCTATCGGAAAATCCTTACCGATTCTGTACACTTCAAACAAATGTTAGGGATGGAGAATAGAAAACTTGTCCGTCCAGTATAGTAGGACGAATTAATTAAATAAATATACCGTTTTACAATAAGTATAATAATATCAATGGAAATTCCCTAATTTCTATAAATGTATCTGAACCATCATGAGATAAAGTGCGTCAGGCTTTACCGTCCTTTGAGATCTTTGTAGCTGATTCCTCTTCATTTTCATATTGCGTTCGCGGAAGAAAATGAATGGAAATAAATGGAAGCGCGATAATGGCACGTGCAAAATAATCTCGTACAATACATTAGTCTATCGCAATGTTGGAACTCGAGAAGAGATTACCACCATTTTCTTAATTGGCCGTGACTAATAGAGAACATTGAAATTGAATAATCAAATTTCGAGATACATACCCTTTCTATGATATGCTGATTAAATTGCTTGTACTAAAAAATTCACGCTCTGGTAGATCAAAAATGCTCTACTATTATCTTGAATATAGAACACTATTATTAATGTACTGGATTAATTATGTTGATTTGTGATCTACTTTACTTCGAAATTTCGTCGAGCACACAATTCTAAATGTACTCCAAGTGGATAATATCAGGAATTATTCTAATTATACTGTCATTACGCACGTCAGTCTGAATTAATCAGATTCTATATCCTCCTATCCTACATCTTAATCTAAACGCGTGCAAACGTGTCATTGATTCATGTGTTCCAGTTTTTAAAATAAACATTTTTTTCCTTCGAAATGTAAAATTAATAAATTCTAATGCAAAGTTTAGTCTTTATTAACTTTAAACATGCACTTCATTTGGACGTCGAGTTACTGTCTCAAATAAATAATGAAATCTACGAATCATATAACAGGTGGAGATTCAGTGCTGCTGGTATATTTTCCTTAGCAAAAGAAAGACTGGAACCTCTGTTGAATGAAGCGAAACCAGGAATACTTGGTAAGCTCTGAGTCAATTAAATATTAATTCGTCCATCAATTATATCAAGACAAGAACGTTTTAATAGAGTATGTTAATTCTCTTATATCTTAGACAACAATAGTAACACAATTTGCATAATTGAAAGTTCAGTTCAGAAATACTTCTACTCGTTTCTACATGAATTAACTACATTCGTAATTTCCTCACTTCGTTTAATGATTAAAATTGTTTGACTAGTTACGAAAGATATTTTTATGCAAAACATCGTTGTAGGACCATTAGAATTAAGGGAACTTACACTTGGCGAACAAACGCCGTACATTACACGCGTGAGGACATTGGATTTTACGAACGACGACGATGTCGACGGTCAGTCAGGCCAAACAAACTTGTCAGTCGAAGCTGACGTACGCCTTGAATGCGAACAATTTCGTATGCTCATCATGACAAGATTATTTGGCAAAGGGTTAGTACAGCGAAAGTTTAGCTTTTTATACTTGAAACAAAACAATTTTACCAGTCCTTTCAATTAGTATGTGTATCGAATTAAAGAGTCGGCGTGGACGTCGATCTGGCCGTGGAGAAACTGTCTCTCTCGGGCACAATTCTCGCCAACCTGACTCTTAATTCCATGGCACCGTTTCCTCACGCAACCTCTTTAAGCGTGAGTTTCTTGGAGAAACCGGACGTTTGGTTCAACGTGAGAATTCTTCGGGCAGTACAAATGATGGAGGTGCCTTTAATTAAGACCTGGATTCACGCGGTGGTTACGGACGCATTGGCTAGCTGGATCGTCGATCCGGGTCACTTGGAGATGAACCTGAGAGCGCAAGAACGACCTGGCCCCAAATTCGATTCCGTTGATAATTCTATTTCTCAAGGAGTGCTCACGGTCATTTTGTCGCAAAACGGATGCCCGGGTAAGAAATGTACTGACAATTACTGTATTAAAAAAAATATATTCTTGCCCGAAGACTCTTTTGCAAACTACGTAAATAGGAATATAGTTTATACCCGTTAAGCTTGAACATATGAAATGTAGATTTCATTATTTTCTATCACTCATCATTCGCAATTTTTAAAACTCGTAAATTTGGTCATTCATAGCTCCCATAGGCGACGAAATTAGATGGCTAGTGGTAACGGTGGGAGATCAAAGGCGAGTTACGACTCCTTTAAATTCCACGTGGAACGAGGACGTCTCTTTCTTAGTAGGAGCATTGGATAACGAGAAAGTTTCTATCAAATTAAAAGCAAAGCGACTCGTCAGTACTATAACATTGGCACAGTTCGAGTTGGCGCTTGGCGTTTATAATTGGGATAGCTCGCAGGTGTAAGTGAACGAGGTTTACAGTAGATTATCTTGAGAAATATCTAATACTATTGAAAAATCTGAGGATAAGACGTTATACATGTATGTTAATATTTTACGCAAAAGGATCGAAACCGTTTTGCAACAAAAGAAACCATCCCGAAATAGTGCTAACATTCCAAATATCAACGCCCGACTGGAGTATACGACGCTTCCAAAATTGGATCCAGACCTGCCACAACCAGAATTAACAGACGACACGAATTCACACTTGTCAGGTAATTGAACATTTTGCACACTTTTCACTTTATTCGTGATCTATTTAGAAACTATAAAATCTCAGAATAATTTAACACAAAATCCTTTCTCTCGAAGCACAATATAATTATCGCGATCGGTATTATCCCATTTGGTATTTTCAGTGCCGCGAAAACATTCCAATCGAGTACAGAAATCAGGTAAAAATATAAGCGAAACGTTGACGTGGCTTTCGAGCATGAAGTTTGAATAATTTATTATTTACTTTCTAAAAATTATAAAACGATCTGAAAAAGTAAAGAAGATATTTCTTAAGTGATATATCATGGTACTACTGATGATTAGACCTTAGATGTTTATGCAAATGCATGTTTTTGTAAAAAAAATAAACCAAATTGACTTGGAAAAGAATTTCTTTTTCACTGGAAAAAAATCATAAAAATGTTATTTCGCATGATGCATGCGTTCTTTCTACGTTTGTTTAAATATTTTTCGTATTTTATTAGCGTATTTCCACATTTTACGAGTGCATAAGCATTCGCTGCCTAATGATGACGTTTTACCTTATGGGATAATTTATTCAATTAGATAATAATTTGCAGGAGTACTTGTGGTTTACATTCATTCAGCGGAAAATCTAAATAGCGACAGTTCTCAGTGTAATCCTTATTGCATGCTATTCAACAATCGAAAGAAGGTATGTCACTCGCTTCTTCGACGGCGTGTACATACATACTCCGACGGTTTAACAATTAACAGTTTCTAATAATGTTCAGGTTAAAACAACGCATTACATTCGAAATACTACGTCACCGAGTTGGGAATCAAGGGCGCAATTTCTTGTTCAAGATTATTCACAAGTATCGCTCAGTTTTGTCATTTATTCATGGAATATATCAAAATCTACTGACAGCGATATGCTCGGGCTTGCAATATTCTCTTTATCTCAAGTAAGACCGCCCATAATCAATGAGCACTCTCAATTATGCAAATTATCCTTTGACTACGATAAAGAAAAATATCTGATTTTATAATCTTTTCATATGCAAATTTCATTTTTTCACAGGAAAGCACGTGGGTTGTTAGAAAAGAGTTAGTTCTCAGTGGTTCGAATAATGCATCGGCAATGACGGTTTCCGTATTATTTTATCCGGTCAAAAGTGTACAACAAGTGATCACCAGCCGCAGAAGTAGTATGACCTTTCCAATGTCAGACGACGATTCGAAAACTAAAAGGAATAGTTTACCGTGGATGCAACAAGCTGTTAGTACATCGCGCAAACAATCAAATCTTATCAAAATATCAATTTACTTAATTCTCTACTTATTATTTCTTCTTTACATCGCAGAGTTTACAGTAAAATATTAAACTTCCTATTCGAATTGTTTAAAATCCTGTTGCACTTTATTCTTCGCACAGGGGATAAAAAGAATAGAGTCTCGTGGTTAAATCGTTCTCTTGAAATGGATGTTAATTAAAAAGTTGCTTAACAAACTGAAACGATGTAATAAAGCTTAAAAAATAATGCCTATTTCAGGATATTAAAATTAGCGAAAAATTTTATTTTATTCATTATATTATGTCGGTTCTCTGTTGTATAAAAATGAAAAGAGAAAATAAACATATCTGTCGCGTCCTCCTTTGATTCGAGCAAACAAGCAAACAAGTAAACAGTGCTGACACGGGTACAATCAACAATCTCCTCTGTGTGAAACCAATCCTTTTTGTCCAAGTTTAATTCTGTTGAATTATGACTTGTTTAATATTTTACCTTTTGTTCTTCCTCAAGATTCATGAATCATCACAATTCTCTTCTTAACGAGCCATCGTACATAAACATTTTTCACACAATCTGACTTTCAATTTTTTAATTTCCGTATAATTTAATATATTCTTTCACAAGGAAAACTATCACAAACAGCTGCATTACACAATTCGATATTAACACTGACTCGTTCCCGAAGAGAGAAGATAAACATGGCTCTGACTATTATATAAATCTCGCGTTATCTATTTGTCAATAAATGTATTGAGATAAGATTATCCCGATTTATATCGTCCCCGACTATTGACAGAAGTCGCGTTAAGAATAATGTCAGTTGTCACAAGCGTTTCTAATATTTACACGTTAAATATAATTATTTTTCAAGAGATCGATTAAATCACGATGCATAGTTCCTCCTATAATGGGATGTCATATTGATTTGCTTGTGTGTTCCTCTAGAAACTATTATTAAGTCATAAGGACATGGATCCCGCTTCATCAGACGTGTCTAGTTTACTTTCCACTGGAAGCGGATTAATGGAAGTGACGTTAATACGCGCCAAAGACCTCGTCGCGAAAGATTTGAACGGTTTCAGTGATCCTTTCTGCGAGCTAAAAGTGAATAACGAAACGAAATACAAAAGCAGTATAAAGAAGAAAACGTTGAATCCTTGCTGGGACGAAAGTTCTATTATGGGTCTACCAAGAAACGACGAAACTCTGGATATTGTAAGATACCTACTTTATATTTTTTTACATATCAATTCATTAGTATATGCGTGCATATGTAAATATCTTTTATACAGGTACTATGGGATCATGATACTTTCGGTATGAAGGATTACCTGGGGAAAGTATCATTGACTCTCGACAATATTCGGCGATTATCAGACGGTGATCGGTCCCATTGGTTCACCTTGAGGGGAACCAAAACGGGAGCTGTAGAATTGAAGATCAAAGTCTTGTCGGAAGAATGTGAGGTATTGCAAAATTTACATCGAGCATAATTTTCGCAGAAACTGCACTTAACATTCATCAACTTTGCTATTGAATTCTTTTATTTTAGACACAAAGTACTTACGCAGCGAGCAATATTAGCGAAAGTTCAACTCAGCTGAATATCGAAGGTTCGGAAACGGTATCGAACATTGTACGAAGACCGTCGATGGAAAAATCAAAAATGAGATTACACTTGGACGTCGTACCACCGCCGCCGCCACCGCGAACTGTTACATTATTAAAGACAAACATTTCTAGTCAATCCGGTAAACTATTATATAAAATTTCGATGCTTAAGTTATTTGAAGAATAGTTAGAGTGAGCTTCTTTAAACTCGTATTGTTTAAAACAGACAAAGGTAGTATTGGAAGTAAAAGTTCTAACGAAATAAACGGAAATCAAAATTCGTGGATACCTAGAATCATCGCAGAATCTGTAACCGATGTAACCGATGATACGGATGCAACTAAATTAGGGGAACAACGATCCTCGCACAACAGTTTGACTCCGAGTCCAGATCAGAGCTTCGGCAAAAAATTGCCACAGTATAATAGCTTTCGCGTTATGAAGCAAAAGGTAATCATATCTAATAATTACTAAAAACAATTCGTCTGCTTGCCGCTTAATAGTTGAATCAATAAATCATTTTAGGTAAAAAGGGGACTGAAACTTCGCAGATTTCGTTCGGAAGTAAACATAGAAGACAAGAATGAGGCGAAAGGCATAACATTAAGTTTGGAACCTAGGGGTGGCGGGGAAGCTGATGCTACAGAACTTTTACAGGGATCCGGTTTGGCTCATGCCGTATCACAACCCGACATGCTTGGCAGGATAAGGCAACCTAGTCCACGCCTAAGATTAAGACCGAATGGTAAACTACAATGATAAATACTACATGAAACCGTAGAAATTTGATAAAATTATTAATCAATTACTCTTGTCAGAATTAAAAATTGTCAATGGCACCAAGGAAAAATATTCCGGAATAGAGGGTAAAGTCTTGCAAGCTCAAGGTCTGCATGTCGCGCACATTGCCCAGTTATATTGCAGAATTAAACTTCAAATGTAAGTATGTAAATGTATAAAAAAATACAAGAAAAATCTAGTAAAAATTCTTGGTATTTGATAGATGTACCAGTCCCGAGAAAGTTACATCTTCAGCGAATAGTGGTAAAACGTTGGCCAAATCTCGGCTCCTACCCGCGATGCCTAATCCCCAGTTCAGCATCGACTTTCATATAGACAGTGACAATATTCCGAGACAATCTTTATTAATATTCGAAATCAGAAGTGCTAGTAAAGAATTACTAGCCAGCAGGCGAATTACGCTTCATGAGTTATTAGGTACGTTTCATTCAAATACGTTTTACAATTAATTTTACCGTGACGAGATCCAAATGTATCAAAATCCTGCTTAATAAATCATCGCAGTAAATAATAAAAATTTCTATGTTTAGGTGTTTCCGCTGCCACTGACGAAATTCACACGTGGCTGGCGTTAAATAACGGGGCGTCCCTAGAAGTACAAATTGTTCACGGAAGAGAACTTAAAAGCAAATCGACGAAGAAATTATTTCGTTCTTGGTCGGTACATCGAATAGGAAAGATATAAGATGCTCCTCCGAAAATTTTATATTTTTTTACTTGACTTCCGTACATTTGTTGAAAATCACACTATATAGTATAAAAGAGAAGGTACCCAAATGTGTAAATCGAAAATCTTCCTGCGAGGAAACGTATGTAATATAATAGTAAGCATTTATCTGCGAACGCATTTTACATTTTACGTATTTTATACGTGTACATATATACAATCTAAATAAACTTACTAACATTAGTTTATAATCAATGTTACAATATTCGTATCATGTATCATAAAATGTGCATAAACTATTATCATTTTTCATTCGGACATAATTCTTCAAAAAGAAACAAAACAGATAAAGATAAATATTAACTAATTTTCAAACCTCCACTGAGTTACAAGTTACATGAATAATGTTTAATAAAAATCCATGTGTATGTACATATAACATAAATTCTATATTTAATCTGTAAGAGAATGAAAATTATTTATTGCTAATACGTAAGATGTAATCAAAAATAAATTACTGAACAGATATACATATTTCTCGAAGTTCTTTTAGATATAATTTTTTACTTTTATTATGAACAGTTTATTCATACACAAATTTACATTTAAATCCGACAATATAACATTATCATTATAATTAACTTAATGATATATCGTATTTAACGCGTTTGCTGCATGTAGAAAATAAATATATGTATAAATAGAATACATCATTTGTCTTATATTTTATAACGTACATTACTGCAAAACCAATTGTGCAAAATGTGACTTTTAGTAATCTGTTTCCTTTTAAATATTTAACATAAGTATTTTTATTTTTATAGTATTATGCAAATA